TGCAATCCTTGACCCTCTGCAGCAAACGCTTCAGGTCCTCCTCAGTTTCATCAAGTAGGGTTGTGTCATGTACAGGGAATACCAGAAGAATATCTTTCTGTGTTACACTGATTATGCAAAGGCGTTTAACTCTGTGGATCATAACAAACTGTGGCTGACTCTGAGAAGAATGGGAATCCCAGAACACTTGATTGTGCTAACGAAACCTATACTTGGACCAAGAGGCAGTCGTCAGAACAGAGCATAGAAACACTGCATGGTTCAAAGTTGGAAAGGGTGTACACCAGGGATATGTCCTATCTCCATACCTTTTCAACCTGTATGCAGAGCAGATTATCCAAGAGACAGAGCTCTATGAGAAGTGTGGCGTCAGGATTGGTGGAAACTCCATTGTTTAGAAAGGAAATTTTTGTAGTCATTGTTTTAATTGCCCGTTCTTCACCCTAATTGGGAATGGCCTTACAGGTGACACACACCAAACAGATGAGATATGGCAGTTTGTTTATCACATACAGTGCAAGGGAGGAGGACACCACTTGATATTCAGCACCCATGATTTTTGTAGGAGTGTATGATTGATCTGTTTGAATAATTCCAGTGTCTATTATGCAGTTGAAGTCTACTACTCAGTTTGTCAGACAGTGGTGGCATGTGCTGGTGATGCTGGATGCTGCGTCACTGGTATTTCAAATGCCAGCACTCATGGTGAAAAAGATTTATTGGAGCTTTCAAACTTAAGGAAGAAAGACCTGGTGATCTACTTTTGAAATTTAGCTAATGAACCACTTCATGGACCATAACAGAACACTAAATAACTCTGTTGATTCAGAACTACTAATGGGAGGTATCAGTCAATGAAGGAAAACACGTTGGATGAGCTGGAGGGACAGTGAGAGCAAGTGAGATCCTTGGTGAGATGGATCAGCACAGTGTCTCAGTCATGCCAGTGGTTATGAGGCATATGTAGGATGGGGTAACATTTAACTCTGGTATCAATAAGGTCACCATGGGTCAGCTTCATGGCAGCTCACACAAATTCAGAGTAGTGGTCACTCTGCTTGGTCCTTAAAATAAGGAAAAAAGTTTGCTTATGGGTTCTTATCCCCTGGAGCAGAACGAAGGAGAAAATATTTACGGCATTTGAGGTCTTCTGGTTTTCTTCAGATGTTAAGGTGCAAATAAATAATACTGGGCCTTAATTTTAGGTTTTATCTCACAATAATTGAAGAAAATTATATATACATTACAGTTATGGGTCATATAACATCCACAATAAATTCTATGACATAGTACATTTTATTATTTGAATGCTGTGTGAACACCACTTTATATTTAAAGTTGTTGTTAAGTGCCACCAAGCTGAGTACAACTCATAACAACTCCGTATACAATGGATCTGAACGCTGCCCTATCCTGTGGCATCCTGACTATCTCTGACATACTCAAGCCCACTCTTAGAGTCACAGTGTCAATCCGTCTCTTGGAGGATCTTCCTTTTACATGCTGACTCTCCACCTTTCAAAGCATGATGTTCATTCCCAAGGACTTGTTCCTTCTAACAGCATTCCTAAAGTATGTGAGATAAAGTGTCACTATCCCTACCCCCAAGGAGCACCTGGTCAGCACCTTTTCGAAAACATACTTGTTTGTTCTTTTGGAAGTCCATGGGATAGTGAGCACGCTTCTCTAACACCACACTCAAATGTATTGGATTGAGAAGTTCTGTCATCCTTACTAATTATCCAACTTTCAGATGGATAGCAAGCAATTAAACCATTTCAGGAAGTAGGATATGATCAAGAACCAACGCTGATGAAAGAGGAAGGCAGCATTCGCAAAAAATAAGGCCACAGTAATAGATGGGATACCAGTTGGCATGTTTCAGCAATAAGATGCAGCCTTAGACATGCTCACCAAGCTATGACAGGAGATTTGGCTTTCAGGCCAGCCGATCGTAAGAGATCCATATTTTTTCCTGTTCCCCAAAAAAAGATGCTCTCACAGCCTGTAGAAATTACCGAACAATACCATTAATAACACATGCAAGTAAAATCTAGGTGAAAATTAATAATTTTATAAACAGTACATCTTTTTTAGTACATATTTGATAAATTTGTGTCAAGGTAACTCCCCATTAGTTGTTCTGGCCTTTCATTGGGCCTCGAGCCTCAAATTTTTGTTTTTAATTGCTGCTTCTGAGCACTGTCTGCTACCCCTGTAGGAACCCTGGTCAGATTGAGAAGTCCTGAGGGATGGAGCCTAATATCTCCCTGTGGGCACCTACCATTGGAATGATTGGGTAGGCACATACGAAGACAGCACAGGTGCTCTGCTATCATCCTGTAGCTCTGAAGCTACAGACTACAAGTGATCAGTTTGAGATTGGGCCCAAGAGTCTGCAATTTTTTTTAAAGACCTCAGGTGATGCCCTGGTTGTTGGGTAACCACATCTTAGGCAGCGCGAATCAGATCTACAAAGATAAGTATTGTTTTTTGTTAATATGTCACCTGATGGTCTAATTTTTAAAATTTTGTATTACTGCAGATTATCAGATTCTTTTCATTCATTTTCTTCACAACTAACCTAATTGCAATTTTAACTTGTTATTTGTAGTGAATTGTTCACAACACTTGATTTAATATCTGAGCAGGGATTCAGTATTTAAATTCTCCAAAGGAATTTCCCTGCAGTTCTGATGTTGTTGTTGTGCACCATAGTGTTGTAACAGACCCATACCTGACCCCCCAGTGAGTTTTTAGAGACGGTTAATTACTGCTCCTCCTCTGATGGAGCAGCCGGTAGCCTCGAACCATGTGCCTTTGAGATTGCAGTGCAACTTCTTGCACAAGGCCACCAGAGCTTGCTTGTTAGCTTTGATAAAAACAATGGAGAAAAGTACTGTATGGTGCCACTGTTGTAGAATGAGGCTGACATCGGGATGGGAGAAAAACTGAATAAATTATGTATACTGCATTGAAGCCAATTAGGGAGAGAACAGTTTAAAAGTAATATATTTTAGGGCATTATGATTATCATAAGAGTTCTGAATGAGGGTTGCAGAGTGGCGTATACTCAGGGTGGGAGTCGGGGAGTGTGGGGGGATTGTATACCAATGAAGGAGTTTTTCTTTTGCTTTTCAAGAAGAACAGCAAACTGGGGTGGGGGGGTGAACGGTGAGAAAAGTGCAACAATGAATGAATGTAAATCCAAAATCTCTGTAAATGTTCATTGAAATTAAGAAAAAGTAATTTTTTTTTTAAAGGCTGACAAATACAGCCAGAAATACACAACCAAAAAAAAATGGAGAAAAATATAGTTGACTGAGAGCAGCTGAAGTCTGTTTTGTGGGGTTGGTTTTTTGGGTTTCACACACACACACTTTTTTGGGTACACTCACACTCTTAATCTTTAAGACAATATCGTAGTACCTCATCTTCCAGTACATCCATTGTCATCTTTCTTAGGGTAATTTTTAAAATATTCCTTATTCTTTCATTTTATAATCCATTGTCATCTACTCTAGTACTACAATTAGATAAAACACACACATGCACAAACAGTTGCCCTCAAGTTGATTCTGACTCATGACAAGTTATGTGTGTCAGAGTAGGTCTGTGCTCCAAAGGATCTCCAGTGGCTGATTTTTGGGGGAAGTAAATTGTCAGGCCTTTCTTTCATAATGCCTTGGCCAGGACTCAAGCCTCCATCCTTTTGATTGACAGCTGAGTGTGTTAATTGTACCAGCCAGCCATTTTCTGTTGAGTCAGTTACAATTCATAGTGATTCTACATGTGCCACCATGGAGACATGGAGAACTGTGCTTAATACAGTTATCTGTGACTGATTTATCGGAAGGAGATGGCTAGACTTTTCTTTCAAGGTGCCTCTGATTGAGCATGAATGTCTAGTGTGTTGGGACCAACAAAAACATTCCTTCTTTAGCATAATAAAAATAAAAAGTTGGTGTTAAGTTAGTTGCATGCAATTTATGGCAACCCTTTGTATTGCAGGGTAGAGAGAGTTAAGGTTGTGACCTCTAAGAAATAGGTCATCTTGGCCATTCTTCCAAGGCACCTCTGAAGAATTTTTTGCATACGCATTTAAATTATCTTTTTTTTTAAATTTATTATTAGTTTCAGTGAAAATTTACAGAGACTTTGGGTTTACATTCATTCATTCATTGTTTCACTTTTCTTCCCCCCCCCCAACACTCCCCCATCTTGGAAAAGTAAAAGAAAAATTCTTTCATTGTTTTACAATCCCTCCCCCCAGGTCCACTCCACTCTGCAGCCTTTGCTCTGGACTCCCGTCGTGACAAAAATACCTAATCACGTATCCCTTTTAAACAGTTTTCTCCCTCATCTGTTTCAATGTAGTATACCCTATTGAACTCATCTTTCTCAGTCTTCTCCCAACCCCGATGTCAGTCCTGTTTTACAACAGTGGCACCATGCAGTATTTGTCCTTTTGTGACTGAGATACTTCACTTAGCATAATGTCCTACAGGCTCACCCATTTTGAGTATTATTGCATGAGTTCCTTGTTTTTCAGTGCAGCATAGTATTCCATTATATACCACAGCTTCTCTATCCATTCATTTGTTGATGGGCACTTAGGTTGTTTCCAACTCTTTGCTATTGTGAACACAGCTGCGATAAACATGGGTGTGCATATATCTCCTTGGATGGCAGTTATGGTCTCTTTGGGGTATATTCCCAGTAGTGGAATTGCTGGGTCAAATGGTATCTCTATTTGCAACTTTTTGAGAAAGTGCCATACCTCCTTCCACAGTGGTTGCACCGTTTTATACTCCCACCAACAGTGAATAAGGGTTTCAGTTTCTCCACAACCTCGCCAGCATTTGTTGCTTGCTGTTCTGTTAAATTTTGCTATTCTTACTTGGGTGAGATGATATCTCATAGTTGTTTTTAAATATCTTTTTTTATCTATTTTTAAATGTATGATTTACCTATTGATCAGTATTCATGCTATCTTATAGGAATTAAATCAAATGCTTTCAGAAACACCACCAGTTTGGAAAGGATCATCAAAATTATTTAGAAATCTTAAAGAAAGAGGTAAGCTAATTTTTATACATGTGTCTTTTTTAATAATGACATTATTATTAACAGTCTCATTATTACTAACTGTGACATTATTACTAACAAATATTAATACTATTTATGTATGTATTTTTATCATACTTACAAAGGCTTTCAATTTTATATAAATACTAAGAAACTCTTTTATGTTATGATAAGTAGTATGTTGTGTTACTCACCAGTAGCTTGGCTGGTCTAATTCACCAGCTACTCCTTGAAGGAAGATACGCATTCTCTATTCATTTCAGAAATCCAATGGATAGTAACTATGGGTAAAAATTGACTCAGTAATAGTTGTAGTATAAGCAAAGCAAAAGATAAAAAGGAAAATGCAAAAATATTCGTTTCTTTTACGTTGTTGTTAAGTGCCATCAAGTTGTAGATGACTCAGAGCAAGCCTATGAACAAAAGACCTGAACACTTGTCTAACTTTCATCATTTCTTCAAGTTTAGAGTTTCCAGAGGCAAGCTATTTTGGAAATGGATGCCACTTCTGTGTCCAAGCTTGTTTTCATTGTGGAGCTCCACCAAACACTGTCCACCATGGATAACCATTATTGCATTTGACACATCAGTGTCACAGTGTTCAGCATCACAGCAACCACGAGTTACCTCTGCACAGCAAATGAACATACCAGTACTATACCACTTGAAAGAGTGTTTGACCAAAAACAATTAAAACCAGGCCTGAGGGCCACAGATTAAAATAACTCCATACTCAGCTCCAAGCCTGCACAGAGAGACAAAAGCCCAAGACTCAACGCTCTAAGGCCTCATGAGTTTCCAAAGACCCTAAATGAAATTTCATAGAAACCAGACTTGCATTCTGGGCTTTTACATAGTATAACAAATATCCCAAATTATTTAACAATAAAAAGAACTGTTACAATTAAATATTTTTAGCCATATGGGAACATATATGTTATATTTACCTAAAGAAAACATTTTTCAAAATATGAGATGTCCAAATGTATAAAAATAGTAATCAAATTATATAGCTTTTTTTTTTTTGCTTCAGCAGTTTTAACCCATGATACTTCTAAAAGCTAAATACTAGGAAGAAAGTAATTATAAATTATACATGTCCGAAAAGATTTCCTTATTGATTTAAGACTATCATTAATTACTTGAAAAATGAAAGGAAGTAAAATATACTTACATTTCCTTATAATTAAAGATGTCAGAAGAAACTCTGAAGATTGCACTGGAGCGTAGAGAAGCCAAATCACAAGGAAGAATTCAAGATACTAAAGAGCTGAAAAGAAGATTCCAAAAGGCAGCACGTAATGACAAAGCAAAATATTACAATGAAATGTGCGAGGAGCTAGAGTCGGAAAATCAAAAGGGCCTAACTCGTTCAGCATTTCTTGAGCTCAAGAAACTGAAGAACAAATTCAAACCTAAAGTTGCTATAATCAAGGATGCTTTAGGCAGAATATTAAATGATCCAGGAAGTATTAAAAGAAGATGGAAGGAATATACTGAGTCATTGTATCAAAAGGA